TAACATAACATAAAATAAAATAAAATAAAATAAAATAAAATAAAATAAAATAAAATAAAATAAAATAAAATAAAATAAAGAAGAAGTGTATATACATATTCCAGGGGCACTTGGGTGGCTCTGTTGGTTAAGTGCCCGACTCTTCATTTTGGCTCAGGTCATGATCTCAGGGTTGTGGGATCCACGCTCAGCACGGAATCTGCTTATCCCTCTTCTTCTGCTCCTCCCCCCACTCATGCTCAATCTCTCTCTCTCTCAAATAAACAAAATCTTTTTAAAAAATCTTTAAAGTAGTATATATTCTGGTATATAATTATAGAGCAGATTTTTATGATCTCCTTTCTAAACTTTAAGAAAAATTTGATTTGCTAAGGGAATATAAAAATCAATCAATCCTACTTAAACATACTTTAGAGAAGGCTTAATACAAAATATAATATCAAATAATGAGATCACAAAATGCAGCACTAATGAAAGATTAGGGCAAGTAGGCTAAAAGTGGGGAAGAGTTTTTTTGATGGCTACACTTCTCAGATTTTCTGGGATATTCCAAATTCCAAATACCCTGTCCCACTCTTTCATCAACTGTTGAGATGACCTAGGGATTTCAATAATCAGCATGCAAGTTAGAATTTCCATATAGCTTTTTATAACCCAAAGTAACACAGACATCTTTTTGAGAGCATGAATTCTGATGATTTGATACAAAATATGAAGTAAATGTGGAAAACACAAATCCAGCAGTGCTGAAGCAAAATGAGTTTTACAAGAGGTATTGATAAATCGCACTTAATGGTTGACAAAGAAAAGCAGTCCCTGGCATCCAGGAGCTGGCCTGGCATCCACAGCTAGGTTGTGGGGGTTCTCCTGCTGAGCATTAACAATTTGAAAGAACACCAACATCAGACAAGACCACTTAGTGACCAAGATGGATCAAGACAAAAACAATACCATTCTGTAATTGTGTGGAACACAAATGCATGAACACAAAAATTACTGTCCCCACATTCTGGCTAATATGAATTTACCAATCACAACTTTGCTTCACTCTGTTCTTCTTCACTTCTAGTTAAGAATTACGATATTCAGTTATAGAATTACTCCTACTTTCTGGGAGCAGCCATTCCAGAGCAAAGCATCACTTCCTTGGACCCTCCCCAGAATCACCTAAAACAGGGCCACGTCCCACAATAAGTCCTCTCCAGCACCCTTTTACCAAGAGATCCCACAGTTTCTCATGCTCTGCATTCTCTCTTGTTGCAATAAGTAAATACTAACTTTGTTCAAAAACAGGTGTGGTTCTAGTGGTCTTTGGCTGAAGGGAATTGATATAATAAGTCTAGATACACTGTATCCCAACAGAGAAAACAAAATGTGTTCATTTTGTTCATTCATACCAGCTAAAATATATCATTTCTTCAAAGGATACAACAACTAAAAATGGGACCAATAGTTTTATGGAACAGCTTTCCAGACTATCTCTACCTCTCTCTCTTCTTAATTTCTAAAAACAGTTGCATTAGGAAACCATGGTAAGTGGAAAGTAAAATAATCATATACACTAAAACTAGGAAATAGAAACTTAGTCCATGTATAAATTCACACAAAATCAATCACAAGAAACAGGAAAGGCTGAAATGAATGAAAGGATGGAATGAACATATCAATTTAACAAACCACAGTATATAGGATAAGTTTTAATTTGAAATTTAACAAGTAAGAAGAGGCCACAGAACACTTATGTAAGAGATAGAAGCATTGTGTGTATTAGTAGAAACAAGAGATACTTAATCACCCACTTTGAGAAACTAATCTTATATTGACTTGAGGCCTCTCATCCTATAATTGACCACATTTGATGATTCTTACCTACACCATGTGAACTATTATAGACTAAAGTAGTGCTTCTCAAACTTTACTGTTCATAGCAATTACCTGGAGATCTTGTTTAAAAAGCAGATCCTGATTCAATAGATTTGGAGTAGAGCCCAAGATTCTGCCTTTTTAACAAGTTCCCCAGGGATACCAATGCTTCTGGTCTAAGGGATCATACTTAGTAGCAGAAGTATAAAATTTAAATGTTTGTGAAGGAAGGCTAGGAAGTTTCTAGGGCCAGTGTTCATGCCTGAAATCATTACCTCCTGAACTGTTACAGCCCATGACAAGCCCCAATGCTTCATCCTGAGGGGGTTGGCAGTCAATAGTTGCAAGTTCTCTGGAAGCCTAAGTTTGCTCCGGCAGTAGTGAGGTAACTGAATAATGCAAGTGCTTCCTGCTGTATGAGCCACTATTCATACTCCATCAGAGCAAGACAAGAATATTCCTTTTCTGGAATTGGAGGCAAAAGGAACCTTCCCTTTATGAAGATCTTTAATCTCCTCCATCTTTGTCTCTTTCTAATCCTACAGTCCTCACTTCCCAACATATTCTCACTCCCCAAAGCTTGGTTCAACTCAGCCATTAACATTTCATAAATGGTTTCCTTGAGGTTTTGGTCAGTTCACTCTTGAATAATCATAGACATCAAAAAACTATAGGCTGCTCAGGGGAAACCTAGCTGACCCTATGCCCCCAAGGTTAATAACCCAAAAGCTAAGAGATGAAAGGGACCTAAGAGTTCATCTAGTTTAGTTTGGAGAGCTGTAACCCTCACGAATGATATGGGAGTCAGGCCAGGCACGCCACAGTGCAGCAGATAAGCCATCACACAGGTCCACAGACGAGTTGTTGCCCTGTAATCACGGCACAGCTGTGCCTGTGGGATGGCTCAGTATGAAACTCTACCCCGAACCCAGATTTTACATTCAGGTGACCTGGAATGCTGAAGATATTTTTGCACCCACATTAAGTAATTGCATTTGGGTTTCAGGGTCAGTGACTAGGGGAATGGAGCCTTAGAAAGACCCAATTTGAGACTTCTCCGGATTGGTTGACAACCACAGCCAACTTTCAAGTGTTTTCCCACTTGAGAGGAGAGACTCTAATAGACATGCTTACTTCATGGGGTGCCACCCTTTTATCTTTTGCTGAGATCTGAGCCCATCACATGTAACAGAGAAAGAAAAATTTGACTAAAATCTGAAGGCACATTCTCACTCTTTCTCAAACCAGTCCTCTGCTGGAATCCATTCTGGGGAATACCACCAAATGTCAGTGTTCTTAACTTCATTACATGAACTTCCAACCACATTACATACTACATAATTTTTATTCAAAACATCACAACTAGAAGTTCACAAAAATTAAAATGCAAACAAGTAAAACAAAAGTCATAGAAGTAATCACCCGAAGTGGTTTCTGAGGTTTTCTTATAATTCTCACATGCTGATCATTCTTTTTAGTTGTCTGCTAGACAGCAAAGATGTATAAAAGAGGGCTTTTTAAGTGAGGAAATAGGTTTCAGGGGAAGTTGTCTCCCTCATCAGTTTTAGTGGTGGAACATGGAATTCTCAGGAGAAAAAAAGCCAATTGCCACAGTTTACAAAAGAACAAACTAAGACCCAGGACAGTAGAGAAAAAGAGCTCAAATATATTGTTAATGGGAAAGCCAGAACTAGAATGAAGGTCCATTATAAATGCCAGGACCTGTGGTCTTTCCTCCATATCACAATATGCTTACAGATTTTAGGATTTAGCAATAACTTGCACATAGTGAGCTCTCAAATGTTCACTGAATATTTTTGTTGGAGAAAAATCAAATATCTATCTACAAGGGAGACATTAAGCTGATACCGCTAAGTCAGACACATGGTATGTTATTTTTGTTGCTGTTCTCAATGTCATAAAAGAGGTCTCTAGAAAATCCATGAACCAATTCACAGTTTATCTTCTAGCCACACTTCCAATTATCTATCCAGACATTAAAACACAGATTTTTGAAACAAATACAAAACCATTTTGCTTTTGCATTGAGAAAAACATGATATTCCCCTAAGTATCAAGAATGGATTATAGCTTAACCATTTACTACAATTATTTTGATAATCAACTAGGGAAACTATAAAAATAAAAACAAGTTATTCAATACTGTTGGTCCAATCTATTTTTAAAAAAGAATGAAATTACCAGTTTGAGGTGGGAGAAGTTTGGAATCTTCAGATGTTTTACTTGTAGGCACAATCCATGGCTTTTCACTCGAAGCTACAGCAAAAAGAAATGGAATTCATTGAAGGTTTTTGTTTTGTTTTTTGCTCTGTTTTGCTTTTTTGAAGAAAAGGACAGAAATAGGTTGCCGGTATGGTTAAATGGCTACCAGAAGCTTGCAATAAAAAAGCACATGCTAATCCAATCCAAAGTCATTTTATATCAAGAAATCAATATGCATCTATCCAGAGAGCATTTGATTAGTGATCAGAACGAGACCAGATTTTGGGGGTGCCTGGGTGGTGAAGTCGGTTAAGTGCCTAACTCTTGGTTTCGGTTGAGGCCTGATTTCTTTTAAAAAAAGAGAAACCAGAGTTCAGTGTCATACTTCCAACATTTTTCAGGATAAACCCCAAACCTGTATAAAATTAACATACTTATGATTGTTACATAAGTATAAAAATCAAATAGATTTTTTCTGTTTGTTTTTAAATCAACCCCTTGTTTGGCTGAAGTTAATGGAATTCATCAGTTCATTGAGGTTTGCTAAGATAGGATCCAGTAAGCGTTTCCTACAGAATTAAGCCATCACCCCCGCTATCTTAATGCCAGCTTTAAGGTGTTACTATTACCCAGAGTGCCCTCAGGCTTCTCAAAGGGAAAGGGTGTGTTTGCCTGAGGAAATTCTGGAAGCCTTTTTGGAGCTGTAATGAAACACATAACAAATGTTATAACCTGAGGTACAAGTAACGGAAAAGATTTTTCCCAAAATCTCAAGCTTGCAAAAACAAAAAACAAACACAAAAAGGCAAATTACTTATGTCAAGTAAGGTATTGTTAGTAGTATTTCTTACTCTTGTGGTTTTGATGCTGGATACTATAATAAACTTCTTTTTCTATTTTTTATAATCAAGCTACTAAATTTGAAGAATTTGGGTTGTTCTTTTCACCCTTACTACTTTCCTAATTTCTTTAGTCATGTGTATGTGTGCCCTTACATATATTTTCTTTGAACTTAAATCAAACACCAAACACATCTGAACTAAAAAATGTCCATCTAATGGAAAATAGAATTTCAGTAATTACATAGCATTATACTTAAGCTCCCACTCCAACAATTTTTGATATTGCACTCAAATTCTAATAAACAGTCTGCCAAAATAACATAAACATATCTTCTCCATCTGGAGAAACAACTGAGTAAAAAGATATTTAGGAAAAGTATAGAAAATAGTTTATTCAGTGACACAATGATTTTGAATAAAAAGAATCAAATATAATATCAAAATACAATCACCAAAAAGAAAACCCCCCAAAAGATTTGTGTTAAGGACTCTTTAGGATTCTAAATTATAAAATATTTAATAACAGTTAAGGCCTTAGTGTTGGGGAGCTTATTGTTCTATAAACCATGTGTCCCTTCTTTCCTATAAGGAGATCAATTTGAATGAATTAGCCTAAGGATTTCTTTAAAGCATGCATAAAATTTCCAAGGTAATAACACGCTGTAATGTTTAATAATTTTTACCTAGAGTGCTCAGTGGCAATTCAAACCTAGGTATTAGAATAGTTTGCAGGGTTTCCGGGGTCCTTTCGCTGAGAACTAAAATAAAGAAGAATTCGGTCAGCAACTCCGCAAGGCAGGATTTGACATTGTGGCTCACACTTAATCATGGGAAGCATGCTCATAACACAGTGTGCACAGGGTAGCTGATGCCTTCATGGAAGTAGCTGGCTCCCCCGGGGAAAAGCTTCACATAGCTGTTAAAATGTGAAGGTATAGTTTCAAAGTGCGTGATGTGGCATGGAGGATCAACATCACGAGTACACAACAAAACGCATGCTACTTTTTTTTTTTTTTTTTTTCAACAGAAGACAACAAAGCAAGACTCTTTTGGGCCAAGATGCAGTTAACTTGCATGACATGAAATTCTTATTAAAAAGCAGGATACTTTGGGGTATTCTCCTCAAGTTTAGTGCACACAAGACTTGGGAAGCCTACTGCAATAAACAGAAAGCACAAACACAGTCCAGACTTCCAGGTTTCCCCCACCCCTCCAAGATTTGTGGGTTAAAAGGCTGGCATTCTGAGTTTTTTCTATACATCCCAAGAGACTAGTAAAAGCTGTGCGTAGTCAGCATCTAGCATCCCGAGCTGCCTAGAATATCAGTCACCAGGATCAAGGCCTGTTGTTAACTCTAATGGAATTGGTCCAAGAAATAGGAAAGTTAACGACTGCTAGTAAAGGGGGGAAATAAAAGGTAGGGGGGAACTAAGGCATTGGGGTTACTTTTTGTTTCTATGAGCATTGGGAGTTATTTAAGAAAAAAAAAAAAAAAAGAATTACCCAGTGTTTTTTCTGAAAATTCTAATGCGCTAGACACAGTAGGTTTCGTGGTCCTTGGCACTGACCCAGCAGTCACTGGAAGGTAAAAAAGACAACTTTACAAATTCAGGTACAAATAATGAAGGAACCAAAGATCATAAGGTGTTTCTGTTGCCCTTTAGAATTAGGAACTGACGCTTAAATTGACCAATTCTTTTCAAGTTAATTCAGGACTCCCTGGCTTGCCCCAGATGCCTGAGCCGACACTTCCTCCAACCCTTCCTCGATGAGCTTGGTCCACTTCCCATGTGTTCCAAAAAGCACAGTGAGCTGACCTTGGTGAGAAAGCACTTATTAATCATAATTTTTTCCTTGCCTGCCTTTTTCTTCCTTATTATCTCCAGGACTCAGCACAATGTCTGAGGTATAGTAAGCAAGCATATGACAAATATTAAATGAACTAATGGGCAGATAAAATAATGACCCAAGGCAAAAAGGTTTATTTAGAATGATTTACATAAAAGATTTCTCTCTTCCAAACTGCAGTCAACATACAAAGCTTGGAACTGGATTGTAATTATGGTAAGGACTCAAATGCTCAGCTGTGAGACACAAACACAACACTGAATAATAAGGCATGGTGTTTGCCTAAGTGTTTCTGTATAGGAAAATTCTGAAGAAGCTTTGGCAGAGAATGAAGAGATCTGTAGACTCTCCCGTCAGGTGCTGTGCCAAGAGAGGAAAGTATAAACAGGAAAAATGGGTAGGATCTTTGGGGCAGAAAATAACTTGGAATCTACTGGATCATGCCTATGCTTTTCTTGGTATTGACAAATTATACTGAAATTAGAAAAATTACCTAGGAATTTTATTTGAATAAAGTATTCCAGTATCTTAGTTTGTTCCTTTGTCCCAACACCCATGAAGGTGGGGGATGGAAGGTCCATCTCCCATGTAGGTAGGAGCCTATATGTCTTACTCTGTCAGAAATATTCCTACTTGAATAGGTTTCTTGAAATCAAGTTATTTTATTTCCCTGCCAATCTTTAGCTCTTCTGGAATGGCTATGAATCCAAGAGTATAGTGCAAGGTAAATATCACTGATATTTCAATTTGTGGAAATTTTGTGGATTACAAAATTCACTTCAGATTGGAGATATTTTGCTAAATGAAGATTTGGGGAAATTCTTGCCAGATGTTTGTTTTACTGGGTTCTGGATGAGGTGGTACTGCTCTGGCAAAAACTCTGTGGTTCATAGGGTAATATGTCCCTGGTAGGCAGGACTTAGGCAGTTCATTCAGACAAGAAATCCTGAATGTTTGTTAGTAAAGGCTAATAAACTATGGGGAAAATGTATCCCGCAACTATTCTTTAAAGGATTTTCAACAAACTATTATATATTTCTTTGTACTAGGATTATTAATCTTCCATAGAACAATTAATTCTAATTCTTCTAAATGATTCTAGGGGACTTTCATAGTTATCAAGCTGTGGATTTGGGAGGGAATATTGGCATTTTGCTAAAATGACCACTTGTGAAAGAAATGAAAAATGAGCTCATATCTTCATATAAAAGGAAAGCACATAAACCATAGTATTATATTTTAGTATAAAAATATCTCAGAATGTTGAGGTGACAACTTTCACTTAGCATGAAAAATACAGCTTTTCCATATTACACATCAGGTCATATGAGTCCATAGTTCTTCTGCATTAGCTGTTTTTCTGAATGTTAAATTAAGGATCCACAGTGTCTTATTGTTTGTGCTTATGATGAAAATTAATCTCCTAGTGGCCCTTCACTGAAAACAAGTACAAACTCATCAATCATTTACCATTTCAAAAAATATTTATTCTCTCAAAGTTAACGACATATGGATCTCATTACCTGTTACGGGTTGTGCTGGGATTTTTTCTACCTCTGGTGTTTTAGATTCAGCAGGTAATGCCAACGTTTCATTCTTAGCTAAAAAGTCAGAGAACAAACAATTCACCTTACTTCTTCATAACACAGTGCCCAAATATAATTCATTCAAACATCATCAAGTAACAGATTATTTCAAGAAATCTATTTTGCTCTTAATTCTTCCCACCAGGCAGTCAACAAATTTATTGTGCATTTCCACCAGGGATTCTTCAGAATTCCATCTTATGAACCCTAGGTAATTCTTTAAGATTTAAATTGGCATTGGAATGAAGAAAAAAGTCACAACTCAATACTTGGATAACTCTCAAATCATTCTCACTCATAAATAAGAGTTTCTGGAAAGCAGAGGTTGTATTGCAAATATTCCCTAGAATTTTGTATTCAAGTGCTCCTAATTAAAAATAACAACAACAATGCATAGAGATTTTTCCATTATTATACACAGTAAAAAAAACAAAACCAATAGGTTATGACAGTGAACCTTTAGAAAAACAAATAACTCACATAGGAAACTAAGATACTTAAAAACATTTGTGGCCAAAAAATAGCAACAGCTATTCATTTGAGCCACACATTAACACTGATCTTTTCTTTTGGTCTCTGTATGAATTCGGCATAGTGAATGAAATTGATTTTTTTCCATATTTTTTAACCTCTTCAGAAAACTACTTAGGAAACTTTCTTCTAAAATTTAGGTATTCTTTTCAAAGAAAGTACATTCCTATACCGGAAATCCCCAATGATTAAGGTATTTCCCATTTCAAAAACACACTCAGGATGAACTTGGTTCAGCTAGTTAGCCACTTGTAATATTTTGAAAGTCTAGGGGCATGAAAGAATTCATTCATCTTTAAGATACCCTGATCATGTCAACTTGAAATAATTATAATCAGATATCGGGATTTTTTTAGAGTCCTAGAACTATACGGGACTTCTTGGGTTTCTCAACTTTGGCACTAGGGACATTTTGGGCTGGATTTTTTTTTTTGTTTTTTTGTTAGGTTGGAGGTCGGGGGACTTTCCTGTGTACTACAGAACATTTAGCAGGATTTCTGGTCTTTATCCACAGGATTCCATTAGCACTTCCACAACTGTGACAACCAAAAATGTCTCCAGATACTGCCGCAAAACCCCCCGGGGGACAAAGCTGCCCTCTACTGAGATTAGATCAATATCTAATCAATTCTCTCAAAGTTCTTAAAGGATGAACATCTTTTAACTTCCTTCTGTAGTTCACATCACTGTTGTAAAGACCATTTTCTTATCAGTTAACATGGGCTACAAAATATTTATTTACTTCTGAAGGATGTAAAGACAACTATAAAGTCATCCCTTTCACAATGATAATAGAAGCAAATCAGTTTTCCGTCTGTTTATGGAAGTCTACAATAGATTCTTCCATAGAGCTAATTATTTTCAAGAGTGTTTTAAGATGCTAGACACAGGTGTCAGAAGTGCTACTGTGCTTGCCATATCTAACGGTCAAGTGCGTGTTTTGGATTCATGTGTACATGATGTTGCACAGCATTTTTACACAACAGAAATGTTAAATACCAGTGTTCAAATTAATTTAGCAGGGCATAAAGAGAAGGGACTCTCTGAAATAACTACACAGCAGTCCAGTAGAAATTTATGGTAACTTCCATTCTTAAAATTTCTAAATTTAATCAACATTTTTCTGTTGCAGTCACAGCTTTTGTTTAGAACCACTGTGATTGTTAGCATAGGAAAAAAGACATGTAGATTACAGATTTTTATGAACTCTGGCCTTCTTATTTTCAAGGTGTACCATGAGAAACTTTTTTTTTTTTTTAAGTGTGAGATTATAAAGTTTTTCTTTAGTGCTCTTTTCTTTTTCAGGGTCCTCTTCTCCCTCAAGACACCCTTGCTAATCCTCTCCTTCCTGTGTAATAGCCTACATTCTCAGTGGTTTCCTCTGCTGACTAGGACTGTTTATTTATTTTAACATACAGATCCTATACTTTCAAACAATGCTCTGAATTACTTTGCTTTAGCTCCTTATATTAAAAACATGCCCTCAGCTGGCAATCACATTAACCTAAAATTAGGCTGTTAATGGGGGGGAAAAACGGTAAACCACCTTCCCAAGAGACATTTGTATTCTTCACACATCACTAATTCCTTACAAAGGCATACTGTATTTCTAAACATGGCATTTCAGATGTCAGAAAAAACGGTAGACGGGGAAGATAATTTGCTTGAGAGCACCTTTATGTCTCTTACCAACCCACGAGCACTCACCTACACTATCTATGGACAACTGCAGTCTTGGCAAGAGCAGAGTAAAATGTCACCAGAACATGGCCTAAAACCCAGGAAATTTCCTTTCCTCTTGGATTCTTCTGTACCTTTTTTCAACACAGTTGTTTCCTTTCATTTTTGGCAGGCTAAGTCTTGGCTTTGGCCAACCCTTTGTATGCCCCAGGGAGGGGTGTAATACTAGCTTTCTTGTTTATTTCTTTCATTATTCACACCATGTGTTCTTAGAACAAAAGCTATTAATTTCTTGATGTCCCATGATGGGCCCCACTGGAATGAGGATATTATTTTTAGGATTCGCCCCCTCAAAAAAATAGTACTTTTCTGAATTGCGGTGTTAACTTCAGGAAAGTTTATTTCTCCCTTGCTAGTATAAAGAACTATTAAAGCAGTATCTCGGGGCCCCTGGGTGGCTTAGTTGTTAAGCGGCTGCCTTCGGCTCAGGTCATGGTCCCAGGGTTCTGGGATCGAGCCCCGCATCGGGCTCCCTGCTCTGCAAGGAGCCTGCTTCTCCCTCTACAACCCCACCCCCCGCTTGTATTCCCTCTCTCGCTGTCTCTCTCTCTCTCTCTGTCAAATAAATAAATAAAATCTTAAAAAAAAAAGCAGTATCTCCATTAAAAACAGTAAACTTAAAATGTAATTTTGAAATACAGTCTGCCAAAGTGGTATATTTGATGGATTTGCTGGGCATTTTCAAAGATACTAGCTATCAAGCTCTTCAATGCATAAGAAATTTGTCACGTGTTGAATTTAAGATAGTGTTTCGTCAAAAAAGATACTTACTGTTTGCATACAACTTTTCTTTATTGAAATCACACTCAATCCTGAAAGCTTTTAGTGAATCATATCAGAAAGATAAAAGCAAAAACAAAACAAATGCACTGTTTTATTCTCTAAAGAAAACAAAGATTGAATGGGTATTAAGATAGTGTGGAGAACTTTGCAAAAACCAAAAAGTTTAGGAAATATCACTCAAGACTAAAGAACAAAACATGCTTCAGTTCAAAACTGACAGTAGTGGTCTGGGGAAAACTGCTCATTTTCAACCTCCTTCACAAATTCTGTATTTTGTAGTTTCGCTGGATGGATTAGGGATCACATCAGTAAGAGAATGGCCAGTTCCTTTTATTTCCCTCCTTCCAAACAAGGTTTACCCAAGGGCAGGGGGAGGCACATAGGCTCTGGGCAGAGAAGAGGTGAGCACAAGAAAAGGGAGCACTGGATTCCAAACAGGTTCGGTGAGGAAAGTTAATTTGGAAGATTCCTGGATTTTAGCACAGCATTTAGATGTTGCAGGGTTTAGTCACAGTTTTATAGCTAAAAAAGAGGTGATCGAGTCTGATGTACAAATTAAAGAAATGATGTCTACAGTCACTTGTCTACATTCTCGGAGGAACTCACTCTGGGACTAAGAGGTATGAATATTTCATAATAAAAATGGAAGGATGCACAAAATCACAAAGACTGGCAAATATTTGCACATCTTAATAAAATGATGTGTAAGTTCTGAGAATTTTTCTACAATTGGTGGGACTGTTAAGTCTATCCATTAAGTGCTCTTCTACTTGCTTAAGGTTTTGTTCCTCCTTCTTCCAGTAAATTCTCAAATTAACAGCTAAAGAGAACTTAAGAGTTCACATTTTGAAACTGCTCCAATCTGATTGCCAAGGAACGAGTCACAACAAGTGTACTCCTTAATCCCTATCACCCATGTAACCCATCCCCCCCCACCCACATCTGGTAACCATCAAACAAGCAAACAGGTAGGAGAAATTAAGTCTGATGTCCCGGTATGGGCAGGTCCTGTGCCTGTGTAACTCACCTGTGCAGTACCAGCGACTTGCAGTTATGCCAGAGAGTAACACTTGGTAATTACATGTTGACTGAATGTTGCCACATAGGGGCCCAGGGGTCCATTTCTGCACCCACACAAGGTGAACATTCATTTATGTAAGTGTGAAAGTTCTTTGCTAGTGCCTAATTCGGAGAAAACATTCTGCAATTTTTAGTTTTGTTCAATTTCTACCACATCATGCCATCTCCTTCCATCTCCGGAGACTGTGGAGGGGTGGTTCTCAAAGTAGGGTGCCCAGGCAAGTGGCTTCAGTATCTCCTGGGTGCTAGTTAAAAAGGCAAATTCTCAGGTCCCTCACCTCAACTACTGAATCAGGAACTCTGCGGGTGGGTCCAGCAGTCTGGGCTCACAAGCCCACCAGGCTTCTCATGCTCCATCAAGCTGGAGATGCTGTGCTATACAGAGGGTCCTGACTGATTTGATACTCAAATGCAGCAACTAATTTATCCCAGTGAGCACTGCAATTTTTCCCTGGGCTCCTTTTAAAGGGTTTTGTTGGGATTGTCTCCCCATAAATTGTTATGTTTTTAAAACACTGAAATTATATCAAGTTCTTTCTACAAGTAGGAGGCAGTATCAATCTCAAGTAAATAATAATTCTAACACATCTGACCTCTACATCAGCTCTCACTGAAAACATCTCATGGCCCCTCGACAGTATAACAATTTTCTAACAATCACTCTATTTGAAAATTTTACCTAAATAAATGTATGTATCTTGGATAATTTGGTAAATGTTCACTTTTTAAAATAAATATAAATATGTTTTATATAGTATATAATAACTATTCACCTATAGAATGTAATTTATATAAATACTTCCAACTCTCCAATCTCTCTGGCCCTCACTGCTTTTTTTCCAATTTTTTTTATCATGGTAAAATATACATAACATAAAATGTATGATCTTAATTAACCTTTTTAAGTATACATTTCAGTAATATTAAATACATTCATAATGTTGTGCAACCATCGCCACCATCCATCTCCAAAACTCTCATCTTATAAAAGTAAAATTATATCATTAAACCCTAACTCCCCATTTCCCTCCTCCCTCCAGTCCCTAGCAACCACCATTATACTTTTTGTGTATAAATTTGACGGCTTCAGGTACCTCACATAAGTGGAATCATACAGTATTTGTCTTTTTGTGACTGGCTTATTTCACTCAGCTAATGTCCTCAAGGTTCATCCATCTTGTAGCATGTGTCAGAATTTCCTTCCTTCTCAAGCCTGAACAATATCCTATTGCACATATAGCCACATTTTGCTTACCCCTTCATTTCACTTTTACTTTTTAATTTTTTTAAACCAGAGTTTAAAAAATTTAAGTTTTTACTTAAATTCTGGTTAACATACAGTATAATATTAGTTTCAGATGTACAATATAGTGATTTAACACTCCACACATCACACGGTGCTAGTCACAACAAGTGTACTCCTTAATCCCTATCACCCATGTAACCCATCCCTCTCACCCACCTCTGGTAACCATTAGTTTGTTCTCTATAGTTAAGAGTCTGTTTCTTGGTTTGCTTCTCTCTCTCTCTCTCTTTTCCCCCTTTGCTCATGTGTGCTGTTTCTTAAATTCCACATCTGAGTGAAATCATACTATCTTTCTCTTAGTTCACTTAGCTCCATCCATGTTGCTGCAAATGGCAAGATTTCATTCTTTTTTATAGCCAAGGAATGTTTCATTGTGTACGGCTATCACATCTTTATCCATTCATCAGTTGACGGACACTTGGGCTGTTTCCATAATTTGGTTATTGTAGATAATGCTGCTATCAACATTGGGGTGCCTACCCATTCATTTGTTGATGGACACATGAGTTGCTTCCATGCTTTAGCTACTGTGAATAATGCTAGTGTGAACACAGATGTCCAAATACCTCTTTGATAACTTTTTTCCAGTTCTTCTGGTTATATACACAGAAGTGGAATTGCTGGATCATGTCATAGTTCTATGCTTGAGTTTTTGAGGAATGGTCATACTGTTTGCCACGGCAGGTGTACCATTTTCATTTCCATCAACAGTGCACATGCCTGTCCCTTATTTTTTACTTTGAGATGCCCAAACAGCTGATATGCTAGATTCCTCGGGGATCCTAGGATTATCAGTGCTAGTACTCAGTCACCACAAAGTTCAAATATGGAACACTCCTGCTTACCTAACTGTGTCTTAATTGCATCCGAAATCTCAAGCATAATGGACGTAGGAAGTTTCACAGTGGTTTCATTAAGGCCTGGAATAATAAGATGGACTGCAAGGAAATAGAATAGAGTAAGAGAAAGAAAATGCATCATGACATAAAATAAACTTCAGAGCATCAGATAATAGAAACTATGAAATTTTGCACTTATTTGGCTTCATCAATTTTAACTCAAACCTAAAGTTTTGGCAAAAAGTGTGATCATACTTTAAACAGATTTTTTTTTTTTAACGTTCAGAAGTGAACTACAAAATCCTCTGGCTTTTAATCCATAGAATCAAAAATAGTAAAATGGCTGTTTAACATATATATTGAACAAAATACATTATTAATAATTTTTAAAAGAGCAGTTCAATACAACAAGGACTCCCTCCTAACTGCAACAACACTATGGGGCAAGTAGGATGGGTGCCATCTTTCCTACTAGGCGTGGGCTAGAGTTGTTTCTCTAACACACACTCCTAGAGGTAATACCTCTTGGCTCCTAGCCTGGCATGGACACAAGCCAGAATGCTCAGTACTGAAAGGAAATGAACCAACATCAATTTAATAGACCTGCTAACAGTGTAAAATTCCATTAAGGGCCCTATTATCAAAAAATAGCCTAACGTGCTTACTGTAAGTATAGATACCAAGATCCACTCACCTAATATTGTTCCTCCAAAAGGAGTCTTATCTGGGGATTTAGTTGAAGCCCTGTGAGTAACATTCTGAATCACTGTTGAAATACAAAAGGAAACAGTGTGTTGGAAGAAAATAGGAAGCAGCAAATAGCTGTAATGTGAAGACATCTGCGCTGAGGAAGCCCTAATATAACTTTTTAATTAATATAAAAAGTAACTCTCTGGGCTGGTACATAGCCAAGGAAAGGACTGGGAGGCACATCTCACCTTCACACTTAACACCTTTAAGTAACGAAAGGTTATTACTTTATGATAAAGTGTTCCATTCAAATGAGCTGAAAATTTCCTTCCTAATCTCCATTCCCTGCAGCCTTCCCAAGCTAAAGAAATAGCACAAAGCGAGGCAATTACTACAGTAAATTTTAAAAAGTGAAAATGTATATTCTCAAAGCAAAGAATCTGGATTATTCTAATACTGACATTGTTTTGAGAATACACTTGAGGCATTATGTTTTCTTAAAATGAATAATTACTTTAGGTGTCTAATCTCTTCTACCAAGAAACTTTCTGGAAATAATGGAGTCATTTTAATAACTTAAAAAACAAAGTCAAAACAAAAACAACTGGATACTGAGATAAGACATTATAATTCTTGAAAACTGTATGTCTTTACCTAAAAGGAGCACTAAATCATAGTTTTTTATTTCACTAATCCAAATATCCTCTTAATGTTTTTCTTCATGTGTGCCAACTTAATCCTGAACAGAGCCACACATATACATATGACTTTTTAAAATTTAGTACTTATTGTAGTTGCTTTGTACAAAAAGTTCTATTTTGGTAAAACACAACCAGTGTGACTTGCCAAGACTTGGCCTATTGGTACATGAGCCAAAATAATCTATGAACTTCTAATATGCTAGACCATACTGATTTCTTCACACTTTTGCTTTAAAACAATCAGAAAAATTGAGAAAAAAAAGCGTTGTTTAATTATCTCAGTGAAAAGTGTATGAAAAATAATTCTAAACTGTTAACTGTACTGGAATTAAAATAAAAAAAATGGTTCTAAACATACATCCAGAGCAGACTCGTACAAATTACCTTGTTTGATGATGGTTATTGGGATTAGCTTCCTTGGGACATATGCTGGCTGAAAAGAGAAGAGAGTCAGTTTTTTAGTTAGTTTTAACTTAAAAAAGAAAAAAAAAAAGCAAAGAACTGGAAGTAGCCCTGTGTTATTACAGTTGCTGGAAAGACCTTTAGTGCATATATCACCTCTATTTTATTGGACTCATTTGGTTTTCCCCATAAATGTCCAAAGGCTTGAAAGAAGCAGTTTCTGCAGAACTCCCATTATTTTAGTTAACCTTGAAACTGCAATGAAAGGAACTAAATCATGTGGATTGACTACTAGTTGATTTATCACTTCATTTGAGATGTGACCCAACCAAATTCTGTCTTTACATTTCCTCTCAAAAAGATGCTAAGCTACATATTATCTTTTAAAACTGATCAGCATCCGTGGTTTGAGTATACCCAGCTGCAGCCACAGATCACCCGCTCAGACAACAGATCTGCCACTAGATAACCCGACTACCATCAACTCCTGAGACCAAGCAGCTCCTTGCCCAAGAAGGCAGAGCTGGGACTCAGATCCAGACATTTCTACCTCCAAATCCCATACTCTAAACCATTCTGCACATATTTATGCACAAAGGACCTCAAACCAGAAAGGCATCCTAGGGCACTATGCATTCTCCCTTCTCCCAAATTGCCTCAGACATCCCACAGGAAGGTTTGATGTCATGGAGTGGCGTGAACTAGGGACAGGTTTAGTGTTAACTTTAAAGTGGAGTCATGACTGGAGGGAACTGTGAGCCAAGGACAAGACAGCTCAGAGAGAGACATAGGAACAAAATAAGGGAAGCAAATATATAAGGAGAAATTAGACTGCGTTAAAGAGGGGAGCATGACATTGATTTGTTGATGCCTGATTGAACCTGTATCCATGATAAAGGAACCTCGTGAACCAGATCTGTTAATAATCCAGGATGTGCTGGCTGAGATACTTACCACATGGGTGTTTAGAGTTGTGAGCAACAGAGACTTGTTAACATGCTCCCATTTTAGTGAATAATGTGCCCATAATAAAGAAGGGCCACAATACCAACCTTACTGTTGGCTATTTGTCTTCTTGTATTAAGGTTCTTATGTTTAAAAAACCACAAAAAACAGAAGTTTACTATTATCAGGTTTTTAAAACTATTTATAGCTATAGACTCAGTGCTATAGACTGAATGCGTATGCCCCCCCCAAAATTTATATGTTAAAACTGAACTCCCAAGAGTGATGGTATTTATAGGTTGGGCTTTTGAGAAATGACTAAGTCCTGAGGGGTCCACCCTCTGAAGGAGATTAGTGCTCTTATAAAAGAGTCCCCAGAGAGATCCCTCCACCTTTCCACCCCGTGAGGACACAGCAAGAAGAGGGCTGTCTGTGAACCGGGAAGCAGGCTCTCACCCGGACACCAAGTCTGCCAGCACCTTGATCTTGGACTGCCCAGGCTCCAGAACTGTGACAAATAAATGTTTGTTGTTTAAGCCACCCAGTCTATGGTATTTTGTTCCAGCGGCCCTAATGGACTAACACACCCAGTAATTTCCTCCATAACAATCTAGCCCAATCTAATCGAATCCTAAACTAAGGAATTAATCAAAGATAAACACCCTTATATATAAATTATTACCACTATGCAAAACAACTGCATCATCCAAAAGCAGAGCTTTTATTAAATAAACTGTTTCAAATTTTTGACATCTATTTAACAAAGTGGAAAATATGCATAATATAAATACAAAGATTACAATTATATGCACACTATAACCTAATTTTATAACAAGTATGTATACACAAATTATCAGAAAGAAATAGATCATAGGTTTTCTTTAACAGTGATTATTTCTTATAAACAGATTAATTTTTTAGACTTTTCTATATTTCCCAATTCCTTACAAGCATGAATTACATTTTAATTAGGAAAAGCTTTTTTGATCAACAGTCTGTTCAGTTACTACACATGCTTGTGTACTGCATAGCTTATATGCTATTGGAAAATAGGAGAATACATAAGTATAATTTATACCCATTTTTCCCAGGCAAAGGGGGAGGGAATAGTAGAAATAGTATAACCTTCAGTGGGAGAGAAAAAAAAAAAAATCTCAGCTTTGATGTCACCCTGGCAGCAGGATCTCTTTCAGCTTCATCATAAGAAAATTCAACAGGAGCCCTTGTACACAGGATGCTTTCCCAGAAAGGCTCTGCCTCAGGTGTCTACCTCACTCCTACCCGTCCTGCTCTAGCCAGAGTCGCCAGCACATGGCCTTTATCATTTGAGAATTTTAAATACCAGCTGTGCCAACCTCCAGCCACATGGGAGCCACGTTATCTTTCCAGGTACTAGTAACCATTTTTGTTACAGCTGTTGCTACAGTTCCAAAGACTTTTGAATGGCTTGTTCTCTATCCCTAGGAGTCCTGCCATTTAGTGCACATTTTGCAGAATGGGAAGTTTTTCAGACACATCACAGTTTAGCAGAAACACCTGCATGTTGCTGTGTTGATTGCTTTGGAATTTCATTATTTTAATTTTTAGTTCTTTTACTGTGATGATTTGTTTTAAACAATTTTTGACAAGGACAAATGGATAATAGTCCACTCTTCACATGAACAGCACGAAGTTTCTCTTTGAACTCTAACTTGAGTATCTAACAATGTTCTATTAAGATGATGAGAAGACTATATGTACGGTGTGTGCTGCCAAAAAACAAGGAAATAATTTAGCTGCAGAATCCAATTCTTTCTAGACCCATAATTACACTCTTGCCTAATCTGCAATCCAAAGATGCATCAAGACTGGACTCCTGAGCAAGTAGCTGCCTCTCTGTAAGTAGGGTTTTTAGGAGCATCAGGAAAATAGTCCTGCCTAAAATGTCTATGCTGAAGGCTCTAAATTGCCAATAAGAAGTTGACACTGTGAATCCTTTCCCTATGTCTTCTTATAAAAGTGTAGGGAAATGTCTGTTACTGGGATCCACTGAGAAATGAAATACTGTGATAATTTCCAAGTTAACAGTGTTTAACCAATTGCAACCCAATTTTAATCAAACAGTTCCATGTACGGTGTTTTTTAAAAAGGTACCAGTAACCCTTCCTCGTCGTCCCAGTTTTGCTCCTAGGCCGTGTCCCTGCCGGCTCTATTTTCTGTGGAACTCTTGCTCACTTCCATTCCTGTTGCAAGCTTTCATCACCACTTCCTTCCACAACTCTTGTCCCCCCTTCATTTAGTAACTATTATCTATGTGTTCACTGTATGCCAGGAAGAAAGTGTTATTTCCCTCCTGCCCCAGAAGAAATGTGGTATTTTATTTTCCCGACTTTTAAGATATCCTGTTCCTTAAGAACCTAGGTTGTACTATATCCTGAGCTGGGGGACTAGTTAAGGGAATTCACTTCTACCATTTTTCCAGGGACGTTGTGGCTGAGTATCCAGTGGGGAGATTCTATGGGGAGAGGATGCTGATGTGGTAAACAGCAATGAACTGATGACCAATTCAGCTGATTTTAGTCCTGGTTAGGGAAAGCCTATGCTTATCTAGAAATAACCAGAACAGTAGTAACCATAGAGGACGAGGGACTTTCTATTCACTGCATTGTATTTACTTCCTCCTGATATTATTTTGAAAGTCAGCTTTAATACATGTAGTGTTGGGGCCCCTGGGTGGCTCAGTTGGTTAAGTGACTGCCTTCGGCTCAGGTCACGATCCCAGGGGCCTGGGATCGAGCCCCACATTGGGCTCCCTGCTCGGCGGGAAGCCTGCTTCTCCCTCTCCCACTCCCTCTGCTTGTGTTCCCTCTCTCGCTGTCTCTCTCTCTCTCTCTGTCAATTAAATAAATAAAATCTTTAAAAAAAAATACATGTAGTGTTAACACTACTTTTTGTAGGCTCTTCCTTACAGGCTTGTCTATTTGGTATTTTTGTGGTGTCAGAATGTTCACTATAGATTTAACTTTATTTTCAGGTCCTGAGATAAAAAAGCTGTCCATTTGGGGAGTGGCAAGGGTTGCTCAAAATCAGACTTCAGTGGTTCAAGAGCCAAACCACATGAGAAGAACTTGGGCCTGTCACACTGTGGTTTTAATTCATTTTTAAGATGTTCTAATGAAAGTTACAAAACATATTGATTTAATCCAGTGTCCTACTTGCAAAACTCTTCATATTTCTGGTCGTTTAGGGAAGAGTGAGACATACACCTTTGATAATATTATTGGCCTAGATATAAACTTTTCAAGTTTCTGTTTTAAGACAACAAGTGCTAAGAACAGAAGGATACCTGATACATTCATTGTACACAATCTTAAGGTATGGGTGGTGACCACATGGCATTGTTCCCTATTCACCTCACTCATCTGGTAACTGTTACACTTGAAAAATTGGCCCCAGGGCCCCTGGGTGGCTCAGTCGGTTAAGCGACTGCCTTCGGCTCAGGTCATGATCCTGGAGTCCCAGGATCGAGTCCCGCATCGGGCTCCCTGCTCAGCAGGGAGTCTGCTTCTCCCTCTGACCCTCTTCCCTCTTGTGCTATCTCTCATTCTCTCTCAAATAAATAAATAAAATCTTAAAAAAAATAAAAAATAAAAATTGGTACCCCTTCTCTTTTTGCCAATAAGAGACATACTTTTAAAAAGATGGGTGGATCTCCGATGGAAAAAAAAAAAGATGGAAGGGTGAAAACAGATGTCATGTATTAGGGGAGCGCTCACTCCAAGGAGATTGGAATTAAATAATTAAACTTATATTTTAAAATCTCTGTTAAATGCTATGTACTTCAAAAATTGATTGTTTAGGGGCGCCTGGGTGGCTCAGTCAGTGAAGTTTCTGCCTTCGGCTCAGGTCATGGTCCCAGGGTCTGGGGATTCAGCCCCACACTGGGCTCCCTGCTCGGCGGGGAGCCTGCTTCTCCCTCTGCCTCTGCTGCTCTCCCTGCTGGTGTGTTCCTCTCTCTCTCTCTCTCAAATAAATAAACAAACACAATCATTAAAAAATGATTGTTTAGCTAGTGAACTAGTAAGATAATTAAGTTTTTTTAGAAAAATAGACATAATGTATTAAAAGTAGGTCCTTTCACATGTATTAAAATTAGGTCCTTTCAGCCATTGTTCTTGATTGAATCAGTTTATATATATATATATAAAAGGGAATTCACTTCTACCATTTTTATTATATCATATATATAAAATAAAACCCAATAGTAAACATTAGGTTTCACCTCCATAAAAAGAGTGTTCTAGATTCTCAACAAGAACGAAAGAGCAAAATTATGATAAATGTGTTTTTCCTTTCACAAGATCATGGATCTCAAGTAACGCAATTTATATAGAAAGAATCACCATTTTGTTTATGCACCTTTTCCCTATTTTTCTGGAGGTATAGGCAGGTAGGGGTGATACTGAAACTATTTAACAAGTGGTAGAACAAAGGCACCAACCGATCAGAAGAGACCTCTGCTATACGTTGCACACCCGGGCTTGCCAGCCCAACACGTCCTTAGATACATGAATTACATATAAAATGTAACCAGATGCTTAAGATGGGGCTTGTTTAACATCCGCTAAGTTTTTGCTCCATATAAGTTTTAGGTGTAAGCATGTACAGGTCAATGAAAGCATTTCTCAATGTATCTTTTGCTTAAAACTCTAAAAGTAAATTTATTTCATAACTCTTAAAATATTGCCTTCTCAAAGCAGTTTCAGAGGTGTCTGTCTGAATATTTGGACTGATATTGACTTTATTTGGATGAAAATATACCTCTAAAATATTTTCAGAATCAATTCTAAGTGGCCATGTCAGATGCTCAAAGGCTATCCCAAGTGGTTCCTTTTCAACTTTCCTGTGTTCCAGAGCTACCCAAGACCACAGATGGCTTTCCAGAAGGTGACAATGGAGAAAGTCTCAGAGAGAAGCCTTAAAATAGCTTTTCAGTTAATTTGGGTTTTCCTTTGGAAATAGCCAAGAGTTTCAAACCACAGCTCGTCACAGCTGGCTGGAGTTGGGGGTACTCCACCTCACAGCTTGAAGTGATAAAATATCTGGCTCTGGGTCACAGATGCAGGAAGTTTCTTCCTGGGCCTTCTCATCATGGCTATTTATGATATGAAAAAGAAATTAAATTCCTTGGGAGTAAACATCAACCATCCTTCCCCATTTTGCTGAGTAACTCACTAGATGAAATATTCTGCCACAAGACATTATTGGGATATGATTGCTGATTAAAAGGAATGAAAGAAATGACATCATTGAGTCACATGTAAAACACAGCAGGACAGCCAAGAGGGTGAGAGATAAGATACGGCTCCTAGGTAACCATTCACAACATGAGTGGGGATTGTTCTAGAAGAAAAATAAAGAGCAACTCTATTCCCTGTGATTGGATTTAAGAGAGACAAAGCCAGAGGGACCTTAATAAGGAATGGCACAACTCAATACTTTAATACTAGGCCAAATGGTTGTTTGCAAAAAAAAAAAAAAAAAAAATGCAGAACCAAATCAATATATAACCTTACTACCTGCAATATAGTGAAATAAAACTCATACAGAGTTTAATTATCACAAAATCAAACCACTTATAAAACTAAAAGCAAAATAGGGAAATATTTGCTCTCTGGATAGGGAAGGGCTTTCTAAAATAGAATGCAATTGAAAATATGACAATGGAAAAGACAAATAATTTGATTAAGCAAATTTTAAGACTTGCCTATTTCAAAAATTCCCATAAACAAAATTGGTAACAAATGTGAGAATAATGTTCCTCGATGATATCACAAAGAGTTGATGTTCTTTAATCTATAGTCTTTAAACTATTTAATAAAACCCATGAGATTCCCAATAAAGAACTAAATTTTAGAACTAAACTATTCAATAAAACCCATAAGACTCCCAATAAAGAACTAAATTTAAGAACTAAAACTAAAGGTCATTAAATGGAAAAGACAAATGGCAAATAAACAAGTGAAGTACTGCTATTTTAGAAATCAGAGAAAGAGAGATTTAAAAACTATTTTACACTACTACATTAGCTGAAAATTTAGTGATGGAAATACAGAATGTTGATAACCAGGCTAATAATAAGGGTGATAATAGCAAGGTAACTCTGATACATTGATAGCAAGATTGTAAAGTGGCACAACCTTTCTAGAAAGAAATTTGATCATATGTATTAGGAAGTTTTCAAAATGTTGATGCCTCCTTTACCTGCTCAGAACATAATGGCCTTCACTTTATAATTGGGTATATGATTTAAGATGCAAATATCTCTGTGGTTGTTATAACAATGGCTTACATTTATAACAAGTAGTACATAACTGGGATGGGGCTTCCTGAGAAGAGATTTTGACAAGTGGAGGGAAAGAAAGAACAAGGGACTGAGTTTCTATAGTGAGAGAGAAGTGGGAGAGGTCTAGATGGGGGGGGTGGATTGTCAGGCATGTAAGATGTGCAGATATTTACTGCACTCGAGAGGCTAGGCACGGTAAAAAAAAAAAAAAAAACAAGCCAGTTGCTTCGTTGTTTTGGAAAAGGTTGGCTTTTTTTTTTTTTTTTTAAGGTTGGCTTTTTTAAGTAGGAAGTGAGAGAAGAGAGGGAAGACGACCAAGATCAGAAATGAATAATACCAATGAAAACAGAGCATGTCCAAATTCACTCTGGAAATGGGTTATTCTAAAAAACAATCCACTGCAAAGATAATAAGCATCACCTCAAGACACCTGGAATATGGAAATACTTGAGTAACTACATTGATTATCTTTAGAGCTTTAAACATACTTTAGAGCTCTAAACATAGCAAATGCCTAAAGCATTAAGTACTTTACACAAAGCCCCAGAGCCAGTTAATCCCATTTCAACACTTCCTCACAGACGGATTTCCTTATAAAAACAAAACAAAACAACAACAACAAAAACATAATGCAGACAAAATTGCTAAAAACATTCCTGAGAAAAACCTGGTACCTACCACTGTGTGGACTTGGTCATAAGTGCTTTGGATTTTCCCATTTACTTTTTTACCTGACAGAAACAAGGAGAAAATAACATTATTTTCATTCTTTGTGTTCCTAAATTAATTCTTCCTACTCATTATGAAGAACTGTAACTCCTGTTCTAACTCTGGCACTGTTAATCATCTTATTTGTTTGCTATCATTTCAAACACTGATTCCAATGAAGTTTGAATGAAGGGATCACAGGAAGAGAGCTCAGGGCCCCCTGAAGTCTTTTTATGTTCACTTTTACTGGCCCAGGTTTCAATTCCAAACACCTGCACACATTACTGCTGTTTTCACTCAGTTGATGCTCATAGATCTGAGATTGATTTAAAATACTACAATGGCCAAAGAACCGTTATCAATGGAGGCATCAAATATCAGCTTATTTTTTGTTGTTGTTTAAAAAAACCATGCATTAATATAAAGGGTTCTGAAATACCAATACTCAAATTCTGTTCGCTTTTGTATTTTTTTTTTAAGTACTAGAGGATGGGAATTAACTCATCTCATATTTAAGAATTAAATAATTAAAAATTCGGTACTTAGGAAAATAAGAATTACAGAAAGCTCACTGAAGGAATTCCAGGTACTTACTGCCAACAACAGTCTTGTGATTGAAAATCTTACTCCAAATTCCACCTTCTCCATTGTCTTTCACTCCAAATTCATAAACTGTGTTGGGTTTTAGATTTTCCACAATTGTCTCAGTGGCCGGACAGAGTTGAAAAACCCATTTCTTTTCCTTATCCTTTTCTCTATAGCGAATTGTATAGTATCTGTTGAATAACCAAAATACAAAACTTGAAATTCACAGGGAGGTTCAGGCTATTTCAAGTTTCTTAATACACCACAGACTCCCACCTACTTCAAAGACTGTGTTTAATGCTGGCTTCTGTTTTTATTTTTTTAGAAATTGTAGAGAACATGAAAAAAATAGCTCAATGTGTACTTACTTTAATTTCTAATTCCAAGTTGGAGAGCATGCAGCAGTGCACTTACAGACTGACAGAATTCAGACCTCTCAGTTCTATTATTCACTACTTTGCAAAAGGAAAGTTGGAAAATGCTGGATGTTCATTTTTTTCCAATTATGCATAGAGCAGAGCATAGACATAATTTTGTAAGTGCATCATATTGTAGTTTTATAGCTGGATGGGCTTAAGCCTGGAACTGCATGGGTTTATTCCACGGAATGTCCACCAAGGTAGTATGGTTCAGTTTTGTAAAAGGGGGACCTGAAACTCTTAAGTTGTATCGAGGACTGCATTCTAAGGGTAACATTTTCTTATCATTATAAAAATAGAATCAAGACCAAAGCCAAGCTAAGGGTACAATGAAAAAAAATGAAGCAATGCAAATTTAAGATCATGGTTATGTATATGCCTAGGGCCTCGTAATATTCAGCCATATATATGGTAAAGTCATGATAAACCTCATCCTTTTTTTTGCGCTTGTATCACATGCAACGTTTTATATATATTATCTCATTTCATTGTCCTAGAGTCGCCTTAAGTGGTAGAAGTTACTAATCCCATTTTATAAATGTGAAAATAGAGATTCAGAAAGATCACTTAATTTGCCCATTGTTGCCCACCTAGTGACTTTAACCAGTGGCAGAACCAGAATACAAAGACTCCTCTTGACAATGCTCTAAACAGCCTCCCTAAGTGGGACAGGAGATCAGGCGGGGATTTCATTAGCACGGTATACGGTAACAAGAATGAATGAGCTAGAGCTACTTGTATCAGTATGAACAGATTTTACAAGCAAAATATTGAATGAAAATAGCAAATCACAAGATAAAACATATTGTCTCATATGATTTACATAAGTACTGAAACGCTCACAAAAAAACTACGTTACCATATATTATTGCTGGCAGTGTAAAGGGATAACAAATACCCTAAGGATCTAATATTTGTGTTGGAACTTTAGTTCCCAGTGAGATAAATGAGATTAGAGGTGGGGCCAACAGGTAAATTTCATCTGCTTTTTATTTGTAAATAAACATTTTCAGTAAATGAAATAATACCTGTCAGGTAGGATGATAGACACATAGGTATTTGTTGTATTATTTTCAGTTCTTCTATTTTAAATTTTCTCCAAAAAATTTAGTACCTCTCTCCCACTCCCCACCCTAGCATAATTTAATGGGCTAAGATTCAGGCTAGCTGCTTTTATTTAAAGCCTTATAAAGTCACTCATATACTCATGCTAGAAACGTTTAACTGCCATCTCTAAGTGTCAGGCACAAGTTGTTGATGCTACACAAACACAATTACCCAGAGTCTCTGGAAAAGAGTGCCAGGACTGGCTACACGATTTATGAGGCTCATTCCAAAATGAAAACATGGGAGCCCTTATTAAAAAATGATTAAGAATTTCAAGACAAAGACAGTAGAGCATTAAACCAAGCATGGGCCCTTCGAAGTAGGGGACCCTGTGCAAATGCACACATCGAATGCTTGTGAAGTCAGCGGTGGGGGGGGAGGGGGGTACTGTTTAACAAATACAGAGAGGGGATGATTTTCTATGTTTCTGTATATTTGTATCTTGCATGTATTTGTATATTCGGACTATTTTCCTACTAGTTACAAGCTACTGATATACTTCCCTCTTTCTAGTAAAACTACTGTCAGGGCTCCAGTCTCCGATTTCAAAGGAGCAAAAGCCAGAATGAGTGAAGGAGGCTGTTCAGCCAAAATATTAACTGCTCCTGGGAACGAACAGTATAGAATAGTAATCCTCTGTGTCTTGTGAGTTGAAACATCAGCAGAAATCTATGAAACATTTATTGACAAGTATGCTGCATGGAATTTTTCTTGTTTTTTCCTTGCCTTGGATACCACGCAATGTCAGAGAAGTGCAGAGAAGCCAAAATCAGACCAGATGGGCTACCACAATTAGACAGCTCTCCTTTGGCTACATGTCTCAATTCCTCATATGATGGGGGGGGTGGGGCACTGCTAACATAATGACCAAAGGCCAGATTCCAGGGTTACACATAAGTTTGATTTTATATAATCTTTCTAGGAATGAAATGGTATAAAAATGCTCTACGAACTTACCCACATGTTAAAAAAAATAATCCATCTTGCAATTTTTTTCTTAATCTTGATCACAAAGCATTTGAAATACCCTCTCTGATACAAGTTTGTCAGGAAAAATAAACGTACAGGCAGCTAACTTTTCTGCTTCAGAGAGGTTATCCTTGTCAACAGTGGCTTAATTGATAACTGTATAATATAGGCAAGTTCTAAGTGTTAAAAGAGTCAATAAGTCTATGTGGCGTAAAGTAATGTCACATTTCCTTGATTTTAAAGCTAGATTTAGGCCTTATGATAATAAGCAAAGCTGAAACCTAGCACACAGAAGGTATTCCATAAATATCTGTAGAATGAATAAAACGGATACTTGGGTGCTCATGGGGTCATTCTAAAATTAGAATATAATCACTCTAAATGGACAATAGCTCCATCACCAAAAAAACACTGATCTAAGCAATCAAGTTTACAATGATCTTTTTCAGTGTGTCATTGTGTAAGGTTTCACTTACCAAACTCAACATTCCTATAGAATCAATGCAAACTGCAGGAAAATACAATAAATGTCTACCTTGAACATTTGCAGAAGGCTTAAGATTTTAAAGTGTGTTTCAGTTTATTCATACAATAAACTGAAGAGAACAAGAATTATTATAGAAGAAAATGAGAGATGATAAGTGTCTAGGTTCTGATAATCAGTGACAGAGCCAGGCAAATGGCTGTTTTCTGACTCCTAAGCTAATAGCTTCAGCATTGCACTGGACCGTCTTTCTACTATGGTGCTTAGCAAAAGGAGATGAAAAAAGACAGGTAAAATGACCTCGAAGGGAAGAGGGCAATTCTAATTCCTTTTAACATTACATAAAGTTTATTATTTCATTGTATATTTACCATCACATAGAGTCACAGACTTCCCATTATTGTCTGAGGATACTCAGGATCAAATGTTGATTGCACCCTTTTCTGTGGATGATTAAATTTGGACACAAGTGGAACAAGTCTAGTAAAGATACAGGTAGCAGTCAGTGAGGGTCATCAGATCAGACCTCTGGAAAGCCTGCCTCTAGCAACTTGGAGTTTAAGAACAAGAACATCTCGTGTCCTAAGTGGTAAGGAACTATTGAAGGTAGTGTTTGGTTCAAATACCATTATCTCTGCTTACATATCCCTAATAGTACGAATATTGACAATAATGGTTATTGTAGCTTAAACAAAATCCTTAGCTCCTCAAAATGTGGAGAAGGCAGGTAGTGGCTTGGCTTGGATATTTGTCAGCTGCAAACTAGTAGCCTGCCTTCATGGGAGTCTTTGCCCACTTATTCATCACTTTTCTCCCTCAAAAGAGAACGGGGGTGGACTAGACAGTCTTTGAGATCCTTTCTGTTCCTAAAAGATGACTGTAGCTGCATATTAGACATTTTATTCCAATAAAACACAGAGGCAGGACACAGGATAGAAACCCCATAAACAAAATTTATGAAATAACTGGCAATAAATTACCAAGAGCAGAAATTGAGTAATATCAAGATAAATTTAGTCCTTTCACAAACCAGCCTGGCTTGATGCATGTGGTTGGCTATCATTTGGGCTTTCTATGCTTTTTTCGGCAATGTTTTTGTTTCTATGTAATTAGCTACCATTACATTTCCTAAAACATCTATTCCACACATGGTTTGCTCTCTTCATATCAAAGGACACTTCCTGACACCCCCTTTGTCAATATTTTTGCTTCTTGCCTTGTGGAGACTGGTGACTGCTGATAGAAATTCTGTCCTCACTCCATTCTTCTCAAAGTGTCTCTCCCTATCATGCCCTCCCTTCCCCGCCCCCCGCCCCTGATTCCAGGGTTCTCCCTTCTGCCCACACATAGCATCTAGGTAATTTTATACCATTTCCTTATTCCATTCACTCACTCTCTGAGTTGAATAACTGTTTAAATATTTTTCATTCTAAAAAAAATAAAATGAATATTCCCTTTTTATCCCTGCTATCTTTTCACAGAATTTCTTTTTTTAAAGATTTATTTGAGAAAGAGCACTCGTGAGCATGCACAAGCAAGGAAGAGGGGCAGAGGCAGAGGGAGGAGCAGACTCCCAGCTGAGCAGGGAACCCAATGCGGGGCTTAAATCCAGGACCCTGGGATCATGACCTAAGCTGAAGGCAGATGCTTAACCGACTGAGCCACCCAGGTGGCGCCAACACAAAATTTCTTCAAAGTAATCTACCTTATCCCACTTTCTCATGACTCATGATGCCTAAATCTCTTTGTAATCTGGTGTCTGACCTGTTAATAAAACCTTTGATCAAATCTAATGATTTAATCCTCTGTGAATTTCCTAACTACCTTAAAATCTACTCATATTCTTCCCCAAATCTGCTCCTATTCCTGTTGACTTCGGGTGCCTTCTCCCCTCATGTCTAATCGGTTCTCAAGCCCAATTAGGTTTCCTGCATGATTCCTCTTTTACTTGTCTCTTCTCTATTTTTAAGCACTTATGGGACCAGTTTAGGTCTTTATTATCTTTGGACTCTTAAAATAATTTTCAAGATGATCAAAAATTTCCAAAATCTCTCTTCTTTATCACCTACTAGTGCCTGGCTTAAAAATCAACAGAAGGAAAAGTTTCTATTGATTTTAGTGCTATCTAAAATGGAATAGCTTGCCTGAAATGGCAGTTATAAAATAAAGCAAATAATATCAAAATTAACAGGACTAGCAAACACAGGTCCAT